ATCCTGCAGATGATCGTTTTGACCATAATGACTGTCCTGAGTTCCTGAGGCTGGCTACTGAGGTGATCCCAAGCCACAGAAGCATGGCTGATTAAGCACTGTTACACTACCGGGGTGTCATAGGTAATAACGATCTATATCTGTGATTTGTTTTTTTTTTTAATAGACCAATCTGCAGGCCACTCAGATGAAGAGTTTAACAGCACTGGGACTCAGAATCCTGACAGTCTGATAAAATTAGAAGAAACTCTAGCTGCTGAAGCCGGAGTTGCTGAGAGAGAAGCCGTGGGCAAAGATACACAATTGGAACCTGTTGAAGAAGAGATCCAATAACTTTTGACAATATCTGGGTACAAATAATCAAAAAAAAAAAAAAAAGACCAGGCATACTGTAGTACTAGCAATATCTCTTTACAAGTGTTGCTGTCTTTTTTCTACTTTCCTTTTTAAACTGGAAGGTTTACAGAAATCTTAATTAAAAGTGTAGATGGCCAAAATTTTCCCTGTGGGGGGGAAAAAAAGAGCAGGTATATATGTTGTTCTACAACGGAGTATCTGGTAAAAGAACAAAACACCATTTTGCCTTTTCCCTATACTTGAACCTTACTTTTGTCACTGTTGAAAAAGCATTGCTGATACTAGGTTTTCTGAATTATATACAAGAGTGGTGGGGTTTTTTTAATCCCCCCCCCCTTTTTTTTCAAACTTAAATTTTGAAAGTCACTGGGAATCCTGTTTTAGGAAAGGTTTTCTTTATAGGGAATAAGCAATAGTGAAATTTCAGAGATGTCGTATGCAAACAGGTATCTCGATTTAGCTGTTCAGAAACATTTTGTAACCATACTAATTTCTTATGAAATGTTTGTATTTCATTATTATACAAAAGTTATTAAATTTTGGAAATAAAGTATGAAACGTATGTAAGAGCCTTACCTAATGGACAACAGACATCACTGAAGCAAGTTACTACCTTTTCTGAACTGCAGCTCAATTTAATCATGCGTTGAGACAGTACTATGCAGATTCCTGTCAACAGCACTTGAGGTAACACAAGTAAGTAGCTCAGGGTTGTGAAAGCAGCCTGAAGAGATGATATTCATAGAATCGTAGAAGTCAGGTCAGAAGGGACCTTGTAGATCTTCAAGTCTGACCCCCTGCCTGGGCAGGAGAAAAAACTGGGCTCAAATGATCCCAGCTAGGTAGGCATCAAGCCTCCTCTTAAAGCCCCCCAAGGTAGGAGCCAGCACCACTTCCCTTGGAAGTTGGTTCCAGATCCTAGCTGCCCTGACTGTGAAGTAGTTCTTACAGCTGTCTAATCTAAACCTACTCTCTGACAACTTGTGGCCGTTATTTCTTGTTATGCCAGGGGGCGCTCGGGGAAACAAGGTCTCCCCCAAACCCTTCTGGTCCCCCCCTAGTGAGTTTATAGACAGTCACCAGGTCCCCCCTCAGCCTTCTCTTGTGAAGGCTGAACAGGTTCAGGTCCCGCAGTCTCTCATTGTAGGGTGTGCCCTGTTGTCCCCGGATCATGCGAGTGGCCTCCTCTGGACCCTCTCCATGCTGTCCACATCCCTCTTGAAATGGGGCGCACAGAACTGGACACAATACTCCAGCTGTGGCCTGACCAGTGTTGCAGTGGGCCCATTCAGAAGCTGAACTACACTTGATTTAAGGATTGATTGGAAAGGCTCCTGCCTTTCACAGCAACTATTTACTTTCTATTCTACCCTCCTGTACTCAAGTCCCATGTTTCTGTTCAAAAGGTAATAGCAGGTTCTTTGAATGTCTCGTTTTAGGAAGAGAATCACTTCAACAATTGAGTAGTTCTTATGGTATGGTAGTACTGCAGAAGTTAATGAAATGAACATTATGTACAGCAGTTAACCCCTGTAAGCAGACAGTCTCTTCCCATCTTACTGACGTTCATTTGTGACATATTTTCATATTGATAGTGGCCTCAGGCTTCTTAAACCTGCCCTTTGCTAGCATGTTGTAAATAAATGGGTTCGGGCTAAATACATGAACGTTCTTTAAGGCTATGTTTATCAGTTACAGTGTTTTATTGGATAACTGACCTAGGTAAAACAATTAAAAGCCACTGCGCAATCTGCAGAAACCTTACATGGACAAGTATCATCTGTACTAATACGTTCATCACTGGATATCATTATTTATAAACAAATACAAAATTGACTTAGATTCCTTTTAAAAATCTAGTTAGAAAAATAAATTCCAAGTAGCTCTTAAATCAGAATCAGGAGTTTTTCAGTAAGAAGAATCTCTGACTAGGTCATTTAAGTCTTGAATGCGACAGTTCATTGTGCATCTAAAACACACAAATTCAAGTTTGTTTTCATTAGGTAGAAATATTACCTTTTATCTAAAATAAATACCAAAAGTTTCTCAATTTCCTAAAACATCAGTTTTAAAGATCAGTGCCTCCATTTTTTTTAAAAACAGGATTTAAAATCGAGTGGAGCTGCCTAAGTGGAATACAGCAGCATGCAACAAGACCATGTTACACTTCATACTCTGTTACCAGCTGATACATCTAACAGATCCAGGTCTCTGATTTCCTCCAGTAGTTGATACAGGCTAGTTCCCTTTGTTTGGCAATATTCCTGATATTCTTCCTGAATTATTTCAGCCCTGGCTCTTTCTTGGGCAAGCTGAGCTTCTGCAGACTTGGTTACTTCTTTCACCAAGTCACTTTTCATTACGTGGGAATTCTGAGAAACGTCAGCATCCGTTATCTCGTACGGTGTGTTGCTAACTATCTCGAGCTTGAGGGTGTCAGCATGGCATCGGGAAGATTGCCCAAGTATTTTTACCTTAGAAAGAGAGTACAGAATGTTATTTCCTCCCCACAAGTTGTGCACTTAGCAATTCCTTTAATTTTCTTCTAAATGAAGATGCTTACTGTGATGTGTTCGAACAGACTCAGTGTAACAGATTCTCCAGCAGTTGTAGTGGAGGTAATTCGGTTTTGGAAGTGCTGGAGAAAACCAGGCTTCCATTCACAACTCCCATCAGACTGACAAGAGATGACTAAACCCTCCTTGTTTTTCAGATATGCAGGAGCTTTAATTCCATACCTATAGGATAGAGAAAGTGAAAATAAGAATTACGATTTTTGATACAAGGAATCAGATCAGCAAACTAATCTTATTCATAAGTTTATTCTAACAGTATACAGACCAGGGATTTGGAAAGGGAAAGATACAAAACTGAAATAGGTAACTACACTTACAGAATTTTTTTTGAAGAGTTTATTCTTGTTTCAATATCTCTTCGTTGTCTTACCTTCCCCCAGTTAACCAATGTGGAAGTCTACCTCACCACCTCTATAGCCCACAATCAGGGAGCAAGGAAAATCATCAGCTAATCAAACCTAATTTTCCAGCTGAGGGAGAAAGAGACCAAGTTATCCCTGCCATTCCAGCAGCTCCTGGTCCTTCGGGGTGTTTATACAAGCACTCTGGGAATGGCAAGGGGGCTCTTTAATTGAAGTGGCTCTGAGACCTGCTCTAAAAGCACCCAGAGTGTCCCCATGCTGAAAAATGGTGGTAGAGGTGCTTTAAAGCTCATTGAACAAGCTTTAGTTAAAGTGCCCCTGCTGCTGTTTTTCAGCACAGGGGCACTGATACATGAGAAGCAGAGTCAATTGAGTCTACTCCGATGCTCTGTAATTACAGCACATCAGAGCATCCTCGCTGCTCGTGTACAGGCACCATTTGGGGCTGGGAAAAGCTCTTCTAACAGTGAAAGGCAGAGCTGTCTAACTACTGCATAACAGCAATTCTTATTCCTACTCATGCAATTCAATACAGCTGAATTATGCTAAAAGCAGAACATTTAGTAGATTAACTTAAAAATCTTAATGTAGTGTAAAAGCTTAAAATTCATTTCATATAAGGACTGCTCCACAGCACATGAGAGACTGCTGCTAATTACAAGCTGAAGGGTTGGCACAGATAAGTGCCTGTCTATATTTGTTTCTCTATTCTGGTTGCTCTCACAGGATCTGGTCTATGACTAGCTGTTGGTCCACATAAAATGAGCCACAAATGCTTTCAACTGATATATGCTGGATTTTTGCTTGTAGCCATGTTGGTTTAAGGACATAGGCCGGCAATGTTCTTTGGGTGAATCTGGTATCTTTTACTAGACCAACTGAGTAGTTGGAAACAAGTTCTTTACAAGCTTTTGGGTACAATCGCCCTATATGTACTATGCTTTCTCTACCCAGAAATACAGATGGGACATTGCAAGAAAGGCACAATTGCCATCCTCACTAAGAACATAAGAACTGGGTATCAGCTACATGAAACAGCTGTAAGGAAATGAAATAGGTGCAAAGTCAGAGGCAGCTAAGGAGGGTGCAGCTTTAAACTGTTTCTTTCCCTGAATACAGACCTGCCTTTTGTTCGATTCCCTTTCTACTGCTCAAAAATATACTTGGAGTGAAACACTTCAATTCTTTTCTTTTCCTGGGAGAAAGTGAGCTGAAAGGGGTTGCTATGACACAAATTGCTCTGGCAGTTGCAAGGATAGTGAGGCAGTGGAAGGCAGTCTGACCGTTCTTTTAAGTTAGACTTTTAAGTATTCAGAATAGGTAAATACTATATTCTGTAGCATGAATTAATGGATAGAAAGTATTGCTTCCAACCAGAAACAGCTGTAAGTGAAACCTAAGCTTGTTGCAGTTGGAGAAGGGCTGTGCGAGGTAGTTCAGCCTCTCAACCAGCAGTGTCCCTCCAAAACCCCAGTGACCCCATGTTATTTCTAGACTAATTATAAACTCTAATCAACTTACCTTGGTACAAAAACAAGCACACCATTTGTTCGAATTGAGTAAATAACACCATCTGCTACACAGCGCTCATCAGCTTCAGCAACTTTGTCTTTGAAATACATACACTGGAAAAGCTCAGTAGATTGCTTCTGGGCACGTTGTGCAGCCTGTGAGAAGGGAGAACCCCCATGAAGAGTTTATGATCATAATAAATCAATGTTGCAGAAGAAGATTTGGCTTTCAAGTTGTACATTACTAGAAGGGTCATTTCATTATTGTATTTTTATAAAAATAGACTGATCTACTCCAAAAGCTGGCAACCTTTTGCTGTAGCAGGCTGCTGCTGGCAACCCAGCTCCCTCCTGTGGGCCACAAACCTAAGCATCCCCCCTGGAGTCAGCAGATGGTGCAAAGGGAATCCAGCGTGACCCAGGGGGTACCTCTGCTGCTCCGGCCACAGGGGGAAGAGTGGGCCGCGCAACCCTAAGGACTCCTGCCCAGCTGCACCATGGGGCTGATTCCCTGAGCTACTGTTGGCCATATCCCGTCTCTTCCACAGGCTGCCATCCATGTCCCTGCCCCAAGGTGGAAAGTACTACATGTAAAAAAGTGCGTGGTCTTCAGCTGCAGCTGTCTTAAGGAGCCTGTTACGTAAATACCATGTTCCTGGTGCAACTAAACCCTATCTAAGGAGCAGCCAATCTGTTTAACAGTTACATTCAGAAATAGAAGCAACAGGAATGTTGCAAGTCCACTGGGTTAAGAAGCAAGACTCCTTGGTCTATTCCCGCCCATGCTGCCTACTGATATTTGCCTCATGTTTTATCTCTGTAAAGCCAAAAAGACAGATATGCTTTCATGTTTGTATAACAGTACTACTCGGATATAACTGAATATGCTGGTAGGGTCAGGTTGACAAGTGGTTAATTCTGCTTGGTTTCAGGGAAATCTATAACAGATCGTTTTCCTTTCTGTTTGCAAAAGGAAGTCTTTATTTCCACCTCCACTCCCAGGGGAGAAGGTGGACTAGGTGAATCTAGCTGGAGCAGAGGATCAGGATTGACTCCACTATAATCAATCTACAAAGCTCCTCAGGAGTCCCTCCTTCAGGAAGGCCGTTTCTGCCCCCGCTTCCACGCTGACAAGGTTCCTTTTCTCAAGCTCTGTATCTTAGACTGAGACTGGTTCATGCATCAGCCTATTTTTAGCTAGTGTCTGCTGCAGGACCCAGCCCCTGCTGCTGATACAGAAAAATCACTGGAGGAGTAAAAAGGGCTTCCTGCCAACAAAAAAGGGCTTCCTGCCAACAGAAAGACAGCCAGTCCCTGCAAGACATCCCCCCCAAAAAACCCCACTCAATTTATATTCCCCTTTACCATCCCTTTTCAAAAGTGATGCAAATTCAGCTACCCTTTAAATCTAAATTACCTATTTGTCCTACAGATCTTATCACACTATGTCCCCACAGATTTACAACTTCATTAGTTGCTCTGTTAAAAGCTCAAGAACAGGAAAGTTTGCTTATATCAGCAGAACTTGCCTGACCTAACTTAGACTCTGAACTGGCAAAATGAAACTTTCATTTCATTTGAAGAAGTCGAGCATGTACACATAGGCAAGGGACACTGAAAGGTGTTTTTTAAAGGTTTGTTTTTCAATTATTTAACCCAAGGTTGGGAGAAGGCAACCTATTCTAAGAATCAAGGTGTACATATTTTTTAAAATTCTTAATACTTCAAATGCTGAGAGCTCTCAAGTTTTAGAAATGAAAGTTTTCAGTTCTGATAAAATAGTTGAGAACAGATGGAAGAATAAAGTTGTTTCATCAGAGGAAATGAAGCATCTTTAACCCTCTCATAATGGAAATAATTAGTAATGCAACAGCTAAGGAAAGGAAATAAAGTAATTAATAAAAAGCCAGTCTCTCCTCAAATACATGCGTGGTCCAAGCCAGAAGTACCGGTGTTTACTAGACTGGAACATGGACTCCAGACAGAAAGTTCTTGGCTTCTTAGCATATCAATATACAGAAAAATACAGGGAAAGAAAACATGTTGGTATCTGTAGTCTGGCTTTAAGTGTCTCTTGCCACGGATGCTGCTTGCCGTGCACAATCAGCTTGCGCACTGCTACTGCACTGTCAAAATACTGGAGGGCTCAGACAACAAGAGAGCACCAAGCTGTGCTGTGGGCTTTTCAAGCCCTTCTGACTCCAGAGCCTTCGATAAAAGAAACATGTTTAAACAATGATAGGAGATTTTTAATTAAGCATGTTCAAACCTAATTACTTCTTAAACTATTGGAGAGGTCCCAGGCAGCATGCAGACGTATTAAATGTCTGTTCTCTACAGGTGCAGGAAGTAATGTCTTTGTTCCCATGCTTCCATCTGCACTCAAGTGGGCTCAACATCTGCATGCCTGGTTATGCATCATTTTTGTGTTTTATGGCCCAACCAGAGTGACAGTTTCAAGTTTTACTTGTATTCATTTGATTGCTGTCTAATTTTGTATTGAATTAAATTATTTTAATTAGAGGGTAACATGAGTGTATGTAACTGTTGCCCGCAGGGGCCCCAGTCTGGATCATCACCCCACAGCAGGAGATACTGTACAAAACCCTGCCACAAAACCCCGTTTGCCCATCTTACCCTGTTTCTGTTATTAATATAGCTGCACAACTCGTCAAGATCTTTGTTGCTGAACAAACTGTCCTTAATATTTTCTTTTGTGTCCTTTAAAGTGGCTGCTACTAACAGTCTGTGGACAGCAATATCAGCATATCTTCTAATTGGAGAAGTAAAATGGGTGTATTTATCAAGGGCAAGTCCTATGACAAAAGACAGCTATGATGAGAAAAAAGGAGCCATTAGAAACTCAGCATTTAAAAACTACATGGAAACGTAAAAAAGGGACAAGCAATAGGTACCATAGTGATGAAATTCTTCTTCAGAACAAGAGCCAGTGGAAAAGTACAGTGCATTGGACATAGCCTGAGTAGCCATCGATCGCAGCAGTTTGTTCACAATTGGATCTAAGGGATCATTTGCTCTATCCAGAGAATCAGCCAGGGCTTTATTAGACCTACCAAAAAGAGTTAATTCTGAATAAAATAATGCCATTGCTGAATTTTAGACCATGCAATTAAAAGCAGCAAGGCAAAATGCCATTTATGTAGCATTAACCAGATGGCATTCTGCATCATTATTAAAACTTCTCTACAAAAAAAAAGTTCAGGAGCAGCTCTGGGAAAGCCAGACTTCATTTCAACATTTCCTCTCTGTGCCTCGTGTGCATAATATGAGGAGAGGAAGGAGTGGAACACAGGGGCTGCTCCACTCCTACTTCGACAACAGCCTGTCACAAACAAAAGCAGAGATTCATGCACTCTCAAGACAATGCATCCCCCATAACATTCACTTGGCATCACCCTGGTTGAGAACCACTGGTGTGCTGCTTCAGCTAACCTCACTGGTTCTCAGCTGGGGTGCTGCTGCCACCACTGCATCCAAGTGAAACAGCTCCACGTGCATTGTTCACAGGCAGGTACGTCTAAGATAGGCAGAAGCACCCACTCTTGCTGAAGCCCTTCCTGGTCTGCCCCCACTTCCCTCCCACGCTCCTCCTGGAAACAGATGTGTGGGACAGTTCCCACCTGCCTCTTTCCACAAGGAGTGTGGGGGAGCGGACCAGGAAGTGCCACAGCAATAGCAGGCGCCTCTGCCTGCTTTATGCTTATCTGGCTAGGCACAGTGCGAATGGGGCAGTTGCAAGGGCTGCCACAGGGATGGCACCTGTACCGCAGCACCCCTGAAAGGGTCTCACAGCACCCCAGTTGAGAACCACTGCTGCACACCTGTCTGTACATGGCGAGGGATAAGCTACAGTGCCACTAAAAGGAGGCAGCTATGGATGCATAGCCTCTGCTCCTGCGAGTTCTGGAAGGGATGATGTACACAGCTCTGTATTTTCTCCTGTAAGTCAGAAGTAAATTAAATCTGCTTAAATACTTAAGTTCCACTGAAAATTCTTTACTCAAAGGAGGACAGACTCTCAGACCAGCACTGGAGGAACCAGGGAGCAACTGAAGCTCAAATGCAGTTTTAAATTTCAGTATAAACTAGTTTGGCTCTTTCACACTGATTGGATGAATAATGTTTGACAATTAAAATGCTTCTGTACCATTTTGGTCTGAACCATCATTCATCACCAGACTGGCAATCCCAAACTGCTGAAAAGCCATGTTAAAAAAGCTACAACTATTTTTAAAAAGCACTATAAAATACGTATTAAAATTCTAATTTGAATTTAATCATTGTATATATCCAGCTCTGGAGTTAAAATAGCTAATCACTGGAATTTTTCTTCAAACACTTAAATTAAGAGAAGTAAACGGTACCATGTGTCTATGACAAAGCCTTTAGCACTGGCACATTCTCGAAGTTCAGAAAAAAACTCTTGTCGTGGAGGAGGGTGCTGACGTAACAAGGCTTGTTGCGGAAATTTCTCCCAAATCTTCTTTGCCACCCAGTGGTTGGCAAGAATCATACATTCAGCAACAGTCTCATGCACCTCCAGTGGCTGCTTAGGGATGAGGTCATGAATGTTCTTCTTATCATCCAGCAGCACTCTGATTTCCACTCCTTCCAATTCCAGCGCACCACAGCTGTCACGTTTAGCCCGAACATGTCGAGCTATATCAGTCAGCTTCCCTATTGCCCACACCAGTTCATTCAGCTTCTGCTGTCTATTTCTCTCATCCAGTTCTTTGAGTTCTAGGATCTCATCAACACCACTCAGGTCTCCATCTAATAATCCTTGGGCTGCCTCATAGTGCAGTTTGTACGCAGATCGAATAATGGTTCTGTTGTACCAGACCCTCTGTATTTCATAAGAAGTTTTATCCAGTTCCCACATGACACTTACAGCATACCTGAAAAATAAAATCACAATGTATTTATTTAACAGTACTTAGTTTTTATTCGACTTGAACTTGAAACATATCCAAGTCTGCAGATTCTCTTACATTTCTTGTACCAAAAATTCTCTTTGACTTAATGAAGCAAACGGGGCATCAGCAGTGTCTTTGTTTAACGCATTTGCCTTTCACCCTTCAAGACGGTGCGTAAAATAAATGAAGAGCAAGCATATTTAGTATTCCACTACTCAGCTACAGCACTCTGCTGTAAGGCAGAGCTCTCCAGCTTCTGGCCTGCAAGCTGTGTTTAGCTGCTGTTTCCTGCCACTGCTCTGCCAGGGTCTCTGGGTCCCCCGCTCCTTCCTCCAGCTTCTGCTTTTTGTTCCTAAGCCCCTGGAGGCAGGGCAGCATAGCCTGGGAAGCCCACAGAGCCCGCAGCCCCCAGCTGCTCAAAAATTGGACAGCTTGCAGTAAGGCATCTTAGTGAAAAGTGCAAAACACCTTATTCTTTGTCACTTTTAAACAGGAACGAAGAAAGAAATCTATGCTCTTACAATAACAGCTACTTTGTCAGCATTAAACATATCCAAAAAATCTTTTTTTTTTTTTTTTTAAATGGAGAGAGGTGGGAATTACAGGAATTCTCCAAACAAGATTCTTAGGTACCAACTACTGTTTATTGCAGGAATAAACTTTGACAACATAATGTTGCAGTCTGACTGAATGCTAAGCCTCATTTCTTCCAAAGACTTGTGCACATGCTCAACTGGTTAAAAGGATTACTATTAGAAAATAAACTATTTCACTACATATATAATTCTTTGAGGATCAGGGCATGGACCAATATTTCCACAAATGAAAAGGTGACTTTTTCAAATGCACACAACTCCGTAATTTTGTTATTTAGGCAAGCGTCTACACATGCATTAACATGCTTTAATAAATGCACATTAAATCTAGTACCTCTGTTGTGAGGTATACTAAGAAAATGGGCATTAGCCTATCTTAATGCGCATTAACTACATAGTATTCAAGTGACGCTTAATGAGCATTGGCCTATTTTAATGCATATTAACTAAATAGCACATTTTTATTGATGTTTTAATGTGCATTAAAATAGACTAATGCACATTAACGCACACCTGTGGATGTGCCCATTAAGTACTAAACCATATGCAATAAAAATACATCTTAAAAACAACCAACAAACCAACCAACAAAAACCTAAGGAAGAATTCCTTACTGGTTTCACAAAATTATTTGTACTCTGCTTGTGATCTTTACGTGTGTGCTCTCAGAAACATTTTTCTTGGAGGTCTGTAAAAGGGATTTACTCAGGTAACTACTGGTAACAATAATGAAGTTACTCGTATAAATCCCACATTAGTCATAAATATTATGAAAGTCTTACCTATCAACTCCACTAAGAAGAGAGCATATGTCAGCACTCAGGACAGAGGGGAGCATGTCATAACGACGATCGGCTAAGTAATAAGTTGTCGCCCTGAGGATAAAGCACATTTATTGTTCTCTTCAAAGGGACTCATTGGTGTACATCTCTCAAGCAGTCTGCAGCATAAGCACAGCTTCAGCAAAACAAGATACAAATCTCAGCATGATTTTAACAGGTTAGTTTTACACAATACACACAACAGCAGCAATGTACTCAGGTTATTTAAATATTCATTAACAAAATATGGGGCAAATCCTACCTCCCTCATGCACCATCAACTTTCATTATACTTTCAGGAATGAAGTGATAAGGCCTAAACAGTCACATAAAACAAAATATTCAGAGGCTCTATCTAATGCACTCCTGCCAACTATCAACTACCTTACTACTCTGCAGCTGCATAAAGCAGTCAATTTAAAAAAAATTAATGCCAAAACTAAAAAAGGACTGCCATATGTGGGAAATGAAAATCCAGTCTCAATATCCTCAGTTGCAAATTTTCCAACTAGGACAGAGACTTCCATATACTTCACTGTATTCATGTAATGGGGGCTTTTTTCTACCTTCTGTAAAGATACATTCCTTCAAAAATAAACAAGGGCTTTCTAATTATATCTAAATCTTGATAATTAAAACAGAACAATGACCAAGATTTAATCATACCAAATACTGCTAATTAAGGATATATGATTTCAGGAAATGAGAAAGAAGCATTTCATGCATAAAGCAGCAGCTAAGCCCACCAGAAGATATTTATTTCCACAACAAATCCTTTCTTCCCCTGAGGCAAGCACCAGCTCCCTACTGGCTAGTTCTTTGTAAGGAAGCCTACCAAACTTACCACTTCATCTATTTATTTTGAGGAAGCTATTTTTATAGTTACCAACTCTTTAAGAAGAGCAACAAGCTTCTTATTCTCAGTAATCTTTTTACATGATTTAGGACAGCCTCAATATAAGCTTCCAAGTTCCCCTCCTGCAGTATGCTCTGCACTTCACAGTAAATAAGTTACCTTGCTCTAGCCTCAAGATCAGTGTAAGAATTTACTGGCACAAAATGGGTTACATCTGCAATATGGACTCCTAGCTCTAGGTTCCCATTGGCTAATGTTCTAACGGAGAGTGTATCATCCACATCTTCACAGCCTTTTGGGTCAATGCTAAATACTAAATGTGTATCCCTCAAGTCAACGCGTTTCAGTTCCTCCTCTGGATTCACCCTCCATGGATTTTCCAAGGTGCTGACTGGCATCTCCGACATCTGCACAAATAGGATATTAGCAATTTGTAAACGTATTACAGATAAAGGTTACACTGTATTTAAAATGAGCTGTTTCAGTGGCACAACAGTAGCTGCATTTATGAAGTTGTTGTAATTTTTCATCCAAGAAAGGCAACTCTTACAAACATATTTTCACTGCATTCTCCAAGTCTGCCCATCATGTTTAACTTATAGAAAGCATCAATTTCCTTGTGCTTTAAAATAGTGTCCCTGCATAGTGATTTTTGGAGACAAGTACCTAAATATTAATGCAGTTCTGGTAAATTGTAATGGATTTTGTCTTTTGCATCTGTCTACTGTGCTTAGTTTTAAAAGACTATGAATATCAAAAGCGAATCAAAACTTCACAGGAGGTTAACCCCTTCCCGAATAATGTAACTTGGAAGTTTTGACAGTTTTTAAAGCACAGATGTATAACATGCAGCCCACCACGGCAATCCCAATGGCCCTCCATATTTCTGCATTAACCACTGTATTAAACAAAAGACATTTTAAAAGAAAAACAGCAAGTCCTGTGTCCTCATCACACAGCAATTCAACAGTCTGTGCATAGATGATCCACTTTCCCACCCCCTGCTAACATGCTGAGGACCTGCATCAGGTCAGAGCCAATCCCATGAGCGGTGGCTCTCCACTGGAAAGTGCACCTTGCAAGCAGCCCTCAGAATTTGATTTGTCCATCCCTACCCTGAGGAGTCCTCAGGTCAAAAGACAGTACTATTTCAACATTCCACCTAGCATGAAGATCCCAAATCAGAGGTGCTCGTATTTACAGTAAAGTACATTTTAACACGGAGATTATCTCAAATCACTTTACTGCGATTTGCAAATCCATTGTTTCCTTGGGACAAACACAGTGATTACATACTTGGAAAACTGACATTAGAAAAGTATCCCATTTAATTTTTAGAAACTGGAAACAGGTAAATAAAAAGGCACTATGTCAGCAGCTAACTCTCTTCAAACCATCAGTAGGTCCCTTTCCTTAAAGAGCAACAATTTGAGAACCAGTGTTAAAGAATCTAGTTAACCACAAAGTCTAACCTGTACTTCAGAGAAAGGAGCAACAGAAATGCCGTTCTCCACCAGAATAGCTGCTGTTTCCCCTTCGAGATCGCCTATTCGTCCTAGAACTCGTACAAAATGTCCATTTGGATATACAGAAGTTGACTCCCAGACATCAATGCGCACAATAACCCTACAATCCTGTAGGGAAGCAATAATTCTTACATTAGAACAGCAATTCATTATTAAAAAGCAATCAACATAAATGCTAATCAAGGGGCAACCTGTGAAATCCAAAGATTAGCAACTCTAAAAATAATTTTACAGACACAAGAAAACATTTGGGGAACTATGCAAATAGACACTGAAGGACATTCGTTTCTCCTTATGAAATGCCTTTCAGAAGCATTTAACAAAACCACAGCTTTAAATGAAAAACCAAAATACATATATACTGCATTTACGCACACCCTAGACTCTAACCTGTACAGGGAAAGAGAATCTGTGAACCTAAGCTGCTTTGTGAAGGCACGCATTCTGCCCCTAAAACACCTCTGCTGCAGCAAAGTATCTGGGCCACCTTGTTTTAACTTGAAGTGTGCAGCATCAGTCAAACTACACTACACATACATCTGTGCACTGCTATCACAGTAATCAGAAGGAAGGAAACTTGCGTGGTTTAAATTACATGAGGTATGTGTGTGGTCATTGCTATACTGCAGTGATTCTCAACCAAGATGCTGTGGCTGCTGTGACAATCTTTTAAAGGTGGTACACAACAGTAGCACTGTTAGGTATGCCAACACCTACACAGGATTCATAAGATAAACACAGAGATTTTAAATAGGAGTTTATAGTGTCAGAAACAATCTGACCTGTTGTGGGCTTTCCAAGTTCTTTGCCACAGAAGAACTGTTCTATTATTTTTTCATAATCAAAAGACAAATGAAAGCTAAGAGCTGGCATTTTTCCCAAGGGGTGCCTTGAATCTAATGAGGTTTAGCACCACTTATATAAATACGTAAGCTGTATGACAGCATGCCAGGTGTTCATTATACTCTCCCTGCTTCTGGATTATTAAATAGCTTTTTCTTTCTTTTACTGCCGTTGGTATTATTATTGTCTTAAATAAAACACGCAGTGCCTGCACTCTCACACTGGAATATACAGTGTACAAATAGTCACATCTTTCTACCTGCAGTGCTTCAGCTTGCTGTGTACTGATCCTGATCTTGGGAATTCTGTAGTCCCATGGCGTAACAAGAATTTTCTGAACATTTTTGCCTTGGGTCTGGCTCTCTTCTTTGGATGGAAAAGTGACCACATAATCCCTCCAGTTCTTCTGAATGATTCCAACAACTCTACCTTTGAACAAGAAACACTGTTGGCTAATGAGTGGTTAGGTAGGAAGTACAAAGTAGTTTGTGGAAGTAATGAATCTTCCAATCTTCTGTTGTATGAACAGGTGTACCGTAAGTCTACACTAGGACTCATAACAAAATGTGATATACAACAGGGGTCTAATAAGCTGTATATTGCAGTTATGTGAGCACTGTGCTATTCTGAAAGTTATGAATATGTTCTAAGCAAAATCAAAAATACTCCTGTTCAAAGACAAGTTTGTGATAAATTGACATTTCTGCAACCATATTTTGATGAACTTGAATTTAAAAAAGGTCCTTTATTTTAAGAGACACTAATTTGCTTTGCAGATTTAGACCCATATTCCATAAAGCAAGTGGTGCTCGCAGGGCAAATGAATGGCATGGGACAAGTCCACATACTGGATTGGACCCTGCTCACCTGGATTGGGCCCCAGGGTCTGCACTGCCTCTTACCCACCCAGATCAGGCCCTGCACCACCCGATCTAGTGCCCTGGGCCATGGACCCAGGGGCAGCCCCACAGGCTGGATGACATGGTGCTAGGGGCTGGATCTGGCCCACAGGTTGAACACCTCAACTATACAATCTATGCAGAATGTTTCTTAATTCACAACTGAACTGCAGCCAACAGTGGGGCAGA